ACATATGGGGCGCTTACAGTCCCTGACATCCACACATGGGTTACGAAGACGCTGACATTTCTGAAGGGCCGCCCCAAGAAGCCAGAGGAGCAGCGCAGGGCCGTTGGGGCGTGAGAAGCTGGCCAAAGCGGTGTCCGGGAAGCTGAGAAGCAAACCGCGAGGGCAGACGCCGCGCTCCTCCCTCCGATGCTCTAAGCGGGTTTTGGTCCAGAGGGAACTTCCGCCCTGAGGTCAACCTCCGCCTGAGGATGCGGGATCCCTGGAGAGCAAGGTGCACCTAGGGAGGTAGAGGAGGTCTCCGGTGGGTGGGAGATAGATAGGGCTCCCCTGCTCTCCAGCTGTGACTTTGCGGTTAGAGACCTCACCAGCCGGCGGGGCCACTTTGCCACACGCCAGCAGGCGCACAAACCTCGCTGGGTGCGGTGCCTTCCGTTGCATTACTGAAAAATCTGCCCCACTAGGCATTTACACAAGGGCAAGGAAGGGACAAAATCGGGGAAGTCCTCAGGCCCCCCTCGTCTTGAGTGGGCTCCTTGGGAGCCTCCTAGCCTGCCTAACTTGCACTGATCTCAGGCCAGGAAGGGCCTCTCAGAACAAGGTCGCCGTTGATTTGCACCTCCCCTGGTTCAAGGCTTGGCCTGCATCTCTGGGACAGACGATTCCTGAGGCTAGAAAAACCATGTCGATGGGGCAAGCTGAGGGTAAATGAACCCAAAAGTAGGCTAATGTGAGGGATTCCAAGGACAGAGAGCACCCCCAATCTGTCTGCATCACCCTCTAAATACACACCACACGCACGCGCGCACACACACACACACACACACACACACACACAACTACAGAGCTGGGTTGGGCCTGCAGTAGATCCTGGAGGGGATGGAAATAAGCAGTCTGTTTCCCATGACTCTTCCTCAGGCCCCCATCTGGGCCTCTGGGGCTAAGCTCTGTTCATATGAAAGTTTCCAGGCTGATCTCAGGAATAAGTAACTGGAATCCTGGTCTTGTCTAGAGTAGCTGGAACAGTCAGACAAGCAGTGCTTCAGCCTGGGAGGGGGTGCTCTTGTAACCAAGCTTTGCCCCCCTAGGACCTGGTAGATAAGGAGCTGAGACTTGAAAACGACTCTGAACTTGTGAAGCTTCTAAACAGTCACTCAGAAGTCCTTGTCTGACTTTGGGACTCCCTGGGAGAGGCATGGAGATAGATAGTCAGGTATCACTGAAAGTTCCAATGTTACATCCAGCCACCATAACTGACTACTGAAGGTAGACATCCCTCTCCTGCTCCCACTATGGCAGCACAGAGCTGCCTGGAGTCACAGAATTGGCTGTGGATTTCCTGAGGTCAAGTCATTTTGACTTGGGCAAGACAGCTTCTTTTCCTCAGCATCTGCCACCCAGCCACTCAAGCACATAGCTAACTAGAATTGAATGATCTCTAAGGATCCTCCCAATTCCAAATGCCAACTTACTAGTTTGGGTAAGTAAGGAATTTGAGGCTTCCTATTCTAACCTTCTAGATCCTTAGCTTCTGATTTAGCTTCTATACCTACAGCTTCTAAGATTGGAATCTCCTCCAAAGCCCTACCCTGGCCACATAAGCAATGTGAGGGGAAAGTAAAGATCTTCATGTCTCTAGGGAAAAGATTTTTGGCATCTGGGGACAATAACAGCTACAATCCTTTCAAATCATGGATAAATCTGTGGACTCAATGGAGACCAAATAATAAAAAAATTTTTTTTCCTAGTGGGTGATTTTCTCGTTTAAAGTGAAAGGCATTTCATATAGCTTCTCAGAACTCTTAGAAAATCTCTGGCAGAGAGTAGAGGGGAAGAAGTCCTAGTTTAAGCCCAAGTGATCAAGAGGTGAGCAGATTATGAGCCCTGAGCTCTGCTCCAATCCCTAACCTCACTTTGATGGAGTTCCTTATGTGTGGCCAAATATCAGCTCTGAACATCTAGGGTCCTATTGTAGACAATTGGACAGATTCCTCCAGGCTTATAAGGTATCAGGGTCTGAGGTAAATGGCCAGATCAGAACCTTGGGGGCCTGGCTGAGATGGGAGTCCTTAGGTGGTAACTAGGGCAGAGTCCTTAGGTGGTAACCAGGAACTACCTCATATTCATCTCAGGTTGGGATTCAGAAAGGCAGATGGTGTGTGTGTGTGTGTGTGTGTGTGTGTGTATGTGTGTGTAGCCAGACACTCTGGGATGCAGGAGGGTTATTTTCAAACCTTAAATGAATTATAAGAAGGTAATCTTTGTGGCATTTTCCCCTCCCATCTTGGTTGTGCTTCTTCAAAGACAGGAACCGATGAGCAACATGGACAGGATAGCTATTAGAAAAACTGCCATTTTCTTTGGTCCGTGTGTGTGTGTGTGTGTGTGTGAGTGTGTGTGTGAAATGCTTGCCTTTCTCCTCTCCCAGCTTTGTTTCTTGGAACATATAATTCAGAGGAAAAGGGAAAAACTCTTGCTGTGGTGGTGGATGGAAGAGGATGACAAGATGGTCTGGTTCTGGGCCATTGGAAGGGTCTCAGATCTCTCAGCCAGGGGAATGGGGGGATCAGAGCAAGAAATCAAATCTATCAAACTGTACTTTCCCCTAAACTTCAAACCTACAGCTCCACTTCAGGCCAAATAGGTGGGTTTGGGACTGGAGGGGCCAGAGCCTCCATGTTGGCAGTCCTCTTGATTTCAGGAGTGAAAACTTAGTGTTTGTCTCTAGCAGAGTCTATATGTGAGTAGCTAGAATTTATCCTAATAATTATCACTTACATCCAACATTCTCTGAGGGGGGAAAAACAGGGTGGAGATGGGGATAGGGGAGTTGTGAGAGACTCAGACTGCTTTCTTGAATTTGCAGGTAGGATTCTTGATATATTCCCCATTCCTGAGCCCATCCAGGATCCCAGGGGCTGAAACAGAGGAAGCTGAGTTTCTGAGGGCCCTGGAAGCATCTACAAACCCCAAAGGCATTGGCTGTGGGCTCCCATTTGAGGAATTCACCCTTGTGAGTGTGTGTAGGCAGTGGGAAGGCTGGAGGGCTCCAGGGAAACACAGGGTGAGGGGTGGAGGAGGTGATCTCCAGCACCCGTTTTGTCCCATTTAATGGGCTATTGAGGAGTTTACACCCTGGGGCTGAGTGTCCCAACTGAGTCAGTACATGTTGGTTGCCTCACAGAGGCCAGGTCGCAGGGCTGGGGCTCCCTCAAGGACCTAATAACTGTGCCCTGCCCTAGACCCGTGCAGAATAATCAGTGGTGAGCCTAGAAGCCTCTTGCTGACTCCCTCCATGACTCGCCTCCTCACTAACGCCCTCAACCTCCAGTAATCGTCCCTTCCCTGTTCCTGCCTGCGCACCACCCTTTCCAAAGTGAACAGTGACTGCAGACTAAAAGGGAAGCTGATCCAGCCCTTCCCTCATTACACAGGGCAGATAGGAAAATGGAGGCGCAGAGAGGGAAGATGACATTGCCCACCATGCCGAGCGAGATTAGACCCTTACCTGAGCCTTGTGCTCCCCATTCCTGATGGTTGGGGCCAGATGCCACCGGGCTTTTCTGTGTTGGGGTTATGGGCAGGTGACCTGGTCAGCCTCCCAGCAAAGCGTACTTCCTGCAAGGAGGCTGGGGCCCCTCGGCGGTGGGCCTTTCAACCTGGCACGCACACATATGGCAGGCAGGATCAGTCGGCGGGCTTGCCCCGGAGAGCTGCTCCGTTCAGCGCCCCACAGGTTTACTCCCATCCCCCTTCTCGCCCTCTGCCTCCCTCCCCTGGCTCTTGGCCCCACTCACGGTTCCTGACTCAATGCTTCTCTGGTTTCTGGGCGCCATCAGGACCGCGGCAGCGATGTGGCTGGCACTAGCTTCTCCCCTTAGCAGATAGTCTTTGATTGCTCCTCAGATCCATTTGCTGGGTGGTGAAGGCCTAATAGGCTCTAATTTCTGGATCCTCAGCCTCGGCTTCTGAAGCACTTGCGTTTGTCCTGAGAGGGTCCTAATCCCAAGGATGTCGCAGGGCTGACAGGGTGAGAGGGACATGGAGGTGAGAGTGGCCTCCTCCTGACCAGCCAGGCCTCCACTCTTGTAGCTGGAGTGGAGCTCCACTCTTGTAGTTCTTGTAGCTCCCAGACTCTGCCTTCATTTTGTCCAAAACATTTTCCTGTGAGGCCTGGCCAGAGCCTGCCTGATTTCACAGAGAAGGGCCCCAGTTCAGGCTGGCTGGAGATCGGGCTGCAGGACCGCCCTGCAAGGTGCCTGCCAAGGTCAGACTGTGGCGGTGGGGAGCCCCCGGCGGGCTCTATGCCGACCTCAGAGAACAATGGAAAATTGAGAGGGCCAGGAAAGGGGCAGAGAAAAGTGAAAAGGGAAATAAGAGGGGGGAAAATAGAAAAAAATAAAATAGATGAGAGGGAAAGACAGAAAAGGAGGAGGGAAGGAAAAAGGAGAAAATGAAAGAAAGAAAAGTGAGAGGATGAAAAAGCAAACAAGCGAAAAGCAGTGTACGTGAGTTGGAGAACTAGAAAGTAACCAAGGGAAAAATAAAGGTAATCGGTGGTGGGGTGGGGAGAAAGTAAGCAGTAAAGACGGAAGGAAAGAAAATAAGAATGTCCCCAAAGCAAGATAACCAAAATTGAAGGAGAGAAAGGCAGAAGATCACGAATATAAAAAGGAAAGAAAGATACTGAAAGACTAAAGACAGATTAAGGAACATAGAGATAGAAAGAAAGGATGGAAGAAAAGCCCAAAGAGAGGCATGCACCCTGTTAGCCCATTTTCATGAAATCAACCTCCTCAAGCAGTTCCACCAGGCCGCGCAGTCTAGCCGGCCAGCGGAGCCCCGACCTTTCCAGAATCGCTGCGAATTCTTGTTTTTCATCACGACCGACTGAAAGCTGCAGGACCTCGTACATTCCTCCAGGTGGGAGAACGAAAAATAAACTATAATTTAACAAATGCCCCAAGCGGGGCGGGTGGGCTTCTCTCGCCCCCTCCCCCTAGTCGGCTGTCCGCAGCCCCAGCTCCACGGGCGCAGACAAGGAGGTGCCCACCGGCCGGAACCCCTGCGGCCGCGCTCAAAGGCCTGGCTGTAAAGGTCAAAGGCGGTCTGTGGGGCCGCTCTGAATGGGCTCCCGGAGGTAAACAGACTCTTAACTTTCAACTTGGCCTTGACCTTCCTGGAGGTGTCTGGCCTGTATGTAAAGGAGCAGCTGAGGCTTTTCTGCGAGTTTGGCTGGGTCAGTAAACGGGGTTGGGGGTCGGGGAGGCTCAGGGATCCTGAGGGTCTGTCTGGAGGCTCCCAGCAGGACAAAAAGGAATCTGTGGGGCTGGGGGAAGGGCTGGCTCAGGCCAGGCGGGTGGGGAGGTCACGATGCCTTGGTTGTTCTAAATTCCGACCTCAACTCTAGTGCTCAGGGAGGATACTGAGGTGCTGAGCCTCAGGTTCTGTATGTGGGAACTGCAGGCTTACTCAAGGCTGAAAGAGGCAAGTGAGAAGGGACCAATCAATACTTGTTAGGGAAACTGTTTTTTTTTTTTTCAAATAAAAACAGGTGGTTTGTAGTTGATTAGAAACGGAAACACATACAGAAACACAAATAGAACCCATTTATTCAGTTTATGAAATGCTTTCATGTGCAAAAAAATCTTCACAGCATTTCTGAGGGGTAGAAATTACTGTGCCTTTGAGAAGACATAATTTTACGGATAAGACGTACTCTACCTTCCTTGACTCAAGTTGAGGTCTATGACAGGTCATAGATGTTTGCAAATACTTAAACATGCTTAAACTTAAAAATACTTAAACAGAAAATGGGAGCACATGCACATATATTAATGTGATATTCGGAACTGTTCCCTAGAATCTACTAGATGCTAAATAAATTGTAGAGTAAAACAGAAACACCCCCCCCCCGTAGTATTTATTTGTATTGAATTATATCTGCATAGAGGTCTCCAGCACAGTTGGTGAGCTTCTCCAGGGCAAGGTTTGAGTTGCTCTTCTCTGCATTCTACAATGATGCAGAGTTACATGCATTCAGCTGCTTATTTCTGTAAGACATAGACAAGAACATTAATATCCAAAAAGCACAATGGCAGGCAATATTGCTATGAATCTTGAAATTTTTGTATTTAATTATTTTCCTTCTAAAAAATAGAAATAAGCTGATGTAATGTGAAGAAATATCCTATGTACATCTGGAATTTTTACAGTGAACATACCCATGTAACTAGCATATGGATAGTGATCTGAGATCCAGAACATTTCCAGCCTTATGTCACCTACTAATCAGAAGCTCCCCTCCCCAGGGCAATCTATTCTGACTTCTATCACCATAGATTTGATTTTGGCTATTCTTGGTTGAACTGCATAGAAATAGAATCATATAAACTTTACTCTTTTGTGTAGCTTCTTTTACCCACCTATCTGTGCAATTTATCTATGTTGTGTGTAGCAGTGTTTTTTAAAATTGTACTATTGATGAACATTTGGGTTGTTTCTATTTTTGAGCTATAATAAATAAATCTGCTTTAGATATTTTAGTACTTGCCTATTGATGGATATAAACATTCATTTCTGTTGGGTATATTCCCAGGAATGGAATTGATTTATCTATTTATAAAATTTAGGGATCTAGTCATGCCTGTGTTTTCATCTACCAAGCAAAAAGCAGTAAAAAATTCTTAGTCGTTAGGTAAAAATCCTGGTATTTCTGCCTTTCATAATCAGACAACCAAGAGGCCATAGTAAAAACTGGAAAGCACCAAAGAGACATCGCCTCCCTTTTCTCTTCTGTTGTTTTCAAATACAACAAAATCCAGTGAGGCTTTCATGCTTAGTGTCTTCAATTATCAGCAATGATCACTGAAAGTAAGCTATACTCTTCCCTACAGCCCTGCAACTTGGAGCAACTCTGGTTGCATGGGCCGTTTCCTGAAAGATAGCTCAAGTTCAGACTCAGGTTGGTGAGGGGGTATGGCCAAGCCCACCTAGAGTGCAGGGTAGTCTGTTCTATAAAACTGCCATGACCTTGGTGTAGAATGCAAAACTTCCTGTCTTCTCCAGAAAACCTGTGAGTTCTAGAAAAAGTGAACCCAGAAGATTTGATTTGGGAGGGGTAGTGATGGAAAATCTCTGAAGACAGATCTGTGGGAAAAAAAAATGGTTTGAGGCTTCTGCCTTGCCCTGCACAATAGTTCCCAACAGATGGGTCTCAGATAATTCCTCCAGTGGTTGAGATTCCCTCTCCCATGCCCTTTTCCTTCTTAGGAAAGGGAAAGCCTGGAGGAAGCACATAGGGGTCCTGGGTTTTCTGGTCCTAGGCTTGGGTTGGGAGCGTGCCAAGACCAGGGTGAGTTTTCTGGGCCCCGAGGAATGTAGGGGAAGACAGAGAGACTGGGTACTTCATAAAGGCCAGACTTCTGTATTCTTGGGGTCCAGATTCCCCCCAACTAGTTCTTTGCCAGCTAGCCAGGCCTGGTTTTCTGGTAATAATCTTAGATCCCAGAAAAGGGGGGAAGGGTTTATCTTTTCTGAGTGGTACTTAGGATTTTATAACATTCTATCTCAAACCCGTCCTTCAACTTCTCTCCCTTACTGTGTCTCTGGATCACATTTTCCTGGCTCTTTCTCTGCCTCTCTCTGAATATACAGGTCGTATGTGACATCTTTCCATATTTCTTTCCCCATCCTAAAACGGAAATCCAAACCCCCTTTTACAGGCCAGGTCCAGAAGCTCCATTTCCGCTTCAGGTCTGAACCTTTAGCGTCTCCAGTTCTCATGTCTCCTTCGGAGTCCGTGTCCCGCTCCCTCTGCTTTCCACCCCTCTTCGAATCCGGAGCTTTATAGCCTCTGCGTGGTGTCCTAGGCACTTCCCGAGGTCCAGGAGTAGCTTATTACTGCGCATCCAGAATGGGAGGGGCACCTGGAGTGAACTGGGATGCTAGTACTGGGACCCCCAAGCAAGGAGCTTCCAGAAATACCCCTTAACTCCCATTTTCTAGCCCCTTCTGGCTCAGACGCATTCCCGGGTTTTTCCTTTCAGGCTCAGAGCGGCCTCTAGGCCCCACCCTCAACTCCCCTTCCCCCCACGAGATGGACACTTTATAGGGAGAGCTTTTTATTCTCTTGTTAAACCTGCCAAAGCACAGAAGACAGAGAGCCAGGGAGGGAGAGGAGGCGACCGAGGTGGGGCTGGCTCCGTCTCTCCTCTCCCGCCTCCCCACCCCCGACGGAGCTGGGTTGTTCCAAACTGGAAAGAGGCGGGAAGACACCCCGTCCCTTTTCTCTCGTTTTCAAATGCAATTAAAAAAAGAAGAAAGCCGAGAGAGAAAGAGAGGAGGGAGGAGAGTGAGAAGGAGGAAGGCGGGGAGAGAAGGAAGGAAGGAGGAGGGAGGGAGCAAGGGAGCGAGGGAGGGTGAGGGGGGAAAAGAGAGAAAGCGGGGGTAAAGTATTTTCGCAATTTCTGCAGAGAAGATTTTATGAGCTTCTCTTCTCCAGGCCGCAGCCAATCAGCCCGCGTGCCCGGGCACCTGCGGCTCCTGCGTCACGACGGCCTGGCTGAGCGAATGCAGGCACCCAGAGAGCTGCCAGCGATTTAAAACGCTTTGGATTCCCCGGGCCTGGGTGGGGAGAGCGAGCTGGGTGCCCCCTGTACCCCCCACACCCAGCGCCTCATGAGCCGATCCTCGGCCCCATGGAGCCCGGCACTTATACCACTTTGGACGGCGCCAAGGAGATCGAAGGCTTGCTGGGAGCTGGAGGGAGTCGGAACCTGGTCACCCACTCCCCACTGACCAGCCATCCAGCGGCGGCGCCTACGCTGATGCCTGCTGTCAACTACGCCCCGCTGGATCTGCCAGGCTCTGCGGAACCGCCAAAGCAGTGCCACCCATGCCCCGGGGTGCCCCAGGGGGCGTCCCCAGCTCCAGTGCCTTACGGCTACTTTGGAGGCGGGTACTACTCCTGCCGAGTGTCCCGAAGCTCGCTGAAGCCCTGTGCCCAGGCGGCCACTCTGGCCGCCCACCCTGCGGAAACTCCGGCGTCTGGGGAAGAGTACCCCAGCCGCCCCACCGAGTTTGCCTTCTACCCGGGATACCCGGGACCCTACCAGCCTATGGCCAGTTACCTGGATGTGTCGGTGGTGCAGACATTGGGTGCCCCTGGGGAGCCTCGCCACGACTCCCTGCTGCCTGTGGACAGTTACCAACCCTGGGCCCTCACCAGTGGCTGGAACAGTCAGATGTGTTGCCAGGGAGAACAGAACCCCCCAGGTCCTTTCTGGAAGGCAGCATTTGCAGGTAAGCTGCTCTGGATGCCCTTGATGCTGAGTGTGGCGTTCTAGACCCTGCCTGGATGGGTCTTGGGGCTGGTGAGGAGGAGCTTGGTTCTCCTTGGTTGGCTATTAGGGCTCTGAAGGAGGGTGCAGGCATTAGAGAGCCTGGGTGAAGGCCTCAGAGGGTCAGTGTGAGGGGCCTGAACTGGCTATTTGAAGCCTGAGGCCCACCAGGTCCCTGATCTCCCTGGGAGGCTGTGGGACCAGCCTTTCAATATGTCGGAGTGCTTGACTCTCTTTGCTGTTGTTTGGGACTTAGGGTGTTCCTGCCCAGCAGGACCCCAGTTTAATTCCTCTCAATTCATTGAGTGTGGGGGTGCAGCTGGGTGGGGACAGAGAAATTGGTTGTTCTGTAAAGAATACAACCCCTTTCTCTCAGATGAGCTTTTCAGTTTCCAAAGGGAAGTATAGATTTCCTGCAGCCATGACTTAGGTGTGTGCATTGGTGCATATGTGTGTGTGTGTGTGTGTGTTGGGAGTAGGGGCAGAAATGTGTTCCCTCCTGTACAGAATTTGCTTGTAGTATCTTTAAAGAGTGGCCAAGAGTTGGAAAATGCGTATGAGGGTGGACAAATATAGACGGTGGGCAAAGGTCTGGCCGTATGTGATGGGTGTGTTTGCAGACTGCAGGCGTGAAGGCAGTGATGAGTGAGGGTGGCCTGCAGAACTCTCCTCTTTCCAAGGCTGGGTGGATCAGGAAACCAACCAGCCGGAAGCGGAGGTGTCCTCTTGTGCTTTGGGGAAATGGCAGTGCCTGTATGGTAGCCTGAGTGCTCCTGTAGGATGACCTAGGTTGTGGGGCCTGGGTCAGACCCTGGGCTTGCGCCAGGCCGTGGTCTGAGCATGTCTCTCTCTCCCTCCCTCTCCTGCATAGACTCAAGCGCGCAGCATCCGCCTGACGGCTGCGCCTTCCGCCGAGGTCGCAAGAAGCGCATTCCCTACAGCAAGGGACAGTTGCGGGAACTGGAGCGCGAGTATTCAGCTAACAAGTTCATCACCAAGGACAAGAGGCGCAAGATCTCGGCTGCCACCAGCCTCTCAGAGCGCCAGATCACCATCTGGTTTCAGAATCGCCGGGTCAAGGAGAAGAAGGTCCTCGCCAAGGTCAAAACCAGTGCTACTCCATGAGGGAGCTCCCTGGCTCTGGCTGGGAGGGGGAAGGGGGGAGTTGGGGTATCCTGGTGAGACCAGGAGCCTGCCTCGGCCAAGCTGGGGCCCAGGACTCTGCTGAGAGGCCCCCAGAAGTGACACTCTTCCCAGGCCAATGTTCCTGGGCTGTTCTTCAGGGACAGTCTGGATACCCCATGGATCACAGAGAGCCATCAAGGCCCAGAGTTACAGCCCAGTCCACCAGGTAACACTACCCAAATGACCTTGACCCAGTCATAATCATTCATTCTGGCAGTTGCAATAATCACCGTACCCAGTACTAGTTGCCATGATAATTAGTATCACATTTTCTATCTAGAGCTCTGTAGAGCACTTATAGAAACTGCTTTTGTGGATTGAGCTGATCATGAATAAACTTGGAAGGAGATCGGTGACAGGACAGCTTCCTCTGGAACCTCTTCCATTTCCAAAGCCTGTCCCCATTCCAGTGAAGGCAGAGGAGACAAGAAATGGCAGATTTACCCCTGGAACTACATTTCCCATTGCCTCTTTAGCATTTTTTTTCTAAGATGACAGCTAGGCAGGTTGGCCAATGCTGGAGGGTACCTCTCCCTCCCTCCACTGTACCCCCTGGTCTCAGAAGTCCACATGCCTAACTCTTTAGTTTCAGCCCTGTGTGAAAATAAGGCCAGTGGACTGCCCTCCAGGGTCTGTTCTTTCTTCCAGAGAAATGGGGTTTGAGAAAGTGCCTGGATAATTCACCACTTCCTCTCCAAAACTTTCCAAGCCTTCCCTTAATGTTTCTGGTGGTTCTGACCAAAGGTGGTAGGTCATGGTTCATTGGGCATTTGGGAGCTGTATGAAATAGACATTTGTGGCCTTGTAGACAGAGCCCCTCTTAGGCACAAACGGTTGCAGAATGAGGGGACTGGTAGCCTATCCGTGGCAGGCACATCCCAAACACACTTGTATAGCCTAAAAGGAGAAAACATGAATATGGCTCGTTCACTGCCCATTTCTCCTCTGCTTGCCTGCGGGTGACACCAAGGAGCTTCCGAGTCTCAGGCCTTGGAGTCTCAGGCAGATTCTTTACCGAGTGAAAGAACTAGCGGTGGCAGAAGCTCCCAAAAGCCAGTGTCAGAATGGGGAACCGCAGGCCGCCAGGACAATAGTGGAAACAGAACTGTTCCCTTTCACTTTGTGCTGGTTCAGTTCACATACACCGATTCTGGGGGAGTGGAGGGCAGTTTGGCGCCAACCGTGTTTTCCACAACCACGTAGACAATATGCGAATAATGAGGAGTTCCAGAAACCTGGGGCAGACCGGCTGTTCGCAGAGCCGGGGGGAACCTGAAGTCGTGTATATAGGCCGGGACCAAATGCGATCTTTGCGCGGAACATCAGCCGGGCTGAGCTGGATCTTCCCGCAGCCCGGGCTGGCGGGTTCTGGCAGTCTTCCGGCGATCGAGAGCACAGGAGTGAAGTGGAGAGGACGGGCCGCCAGACCCACGTTCCGAAGCCTCCCCGCAGCTGGCAGTCGGGAGGCGAGCTCCAGAAGGGGCCCCGGCCGCGTCTCGACGGCCCCTCCATCTCAGAGCGGACTCCTCCTTTTCCAGGGAACCAACCGCCTGAGTTTCCTGGAAACCGCCGCAGCCGAGCAATTCGAGTCGTGTGGCATCGCAGTCCTGCCTCTTCTCGGAAGGAAGACTCTTCTAAGTCTTCCAATTTTTTCTTTCTTTCTTTTTTTAACCAAAGAGCATTCTAAAGCTGAGGGGTAAAAAGGCCCCGACTGGCAATGCCCTCCCTCCCTGGGTCTTCTTAGATAGTGAGTGTGCTTGGGGAAGGGGAAGATGTCAATTTCGTGATTTACACAGTCTTTCCAAGCCCCGTGGTCCAGTTTAAGTTCCCTGGTATCGCGCCTCGCCCAGAGAAAGTTACTTTCTGCTTTCCATGTTCTCCTTCAAGCGAAGTCCCAATCTTTAGTAATTTTTAATACCGCGGATTCCGAAGGTTAGTGGGTGCAGCCCCCTCCCTTGCCGCTTCTGAAATTGAGAGACTTCAGGACAGATAGGCCTATGGGGAGGTGGCGTGTGGGACAAATGAGGGAGACCGCCGTGGTGCTTGCTTCCTACAGAGGGAGGGGAAAGGCTTTAGGTTACCACTCGGAATTCCCGAGGTGACTTCGGAAGGCCTGCAGTCAGGGGCCTCGAGACTCTGGACTCCCGGGGCTCTAATGCCTCCATTCCGTTACCAAGGACTTAAAGTTTCGGGGCTCCTCTGTTATGCTTTCGCAACAATTTTAGAACAAACAAAAGATGTGGGATTTTAGATTTATTTCTCTACCAACGTGAGTTTGGCCTATTAAAAAGACAAGGGCGCCCCCTTCCGGCAGAATCTCGCCATTTCAGAGAAACTCGCCGGTCAGCTCGGCTTTTTAACAACTCAACTGAGCCTCTGGCTTCCGAAAGCCTGTGGACTCAGGCCTCCGGGGTTGGAGAATTCGTAGCCGCGTGTGAGAGCGCCCGGACCCGGAGTCGCCTGAAACTGGGACAGGGTACTGGCAAATGTATCAGCCCAGCGGCGGAGAGACCCAGGAGGAAGGCTAGGAGGGCAGCACAAGAGATCTGTAATAGAGAAAAAACAGGGTGGCCAGGGCTCCCAGAGCAAGGCTGCGGCGCCATCAGCCCTCGATCCAGGTCTTCATTCCACTGGAGTATTTAATTTATCTTCCTCGCCAGAACAATTCGCGGCAAACCCCTCTCCCCCGCTTCCCCCTGCCCCGAGAGTCATTTACTTGTATGGAATCTGTGCAAAAAAAACAAAACAAAACAAAACATTCAATTTCGCTTTGTGTTAAACCGTTTTATGGAAGCTCTTTCCAAACACCGGTGTTACTACCAAGGCGAATTATATCCCCTTCCACAGAGACCACTTAAAAACCTTTCACTAATTTGTGTCTAAACTACAACAAAATTATGTATCTACATTTACTTGCCTGCAGCTATTTGCTTTTTAAATAGGGCCACTTTAAGCTATTAATACAAGAAAGAGTGTTTCGCTAAAATTTAGATTGAAATGCGTGAATACAACGTTCTCAAATAGGTAAATTAAGACATTTTCATGGACAAATAAACGCCTAGGCGGAGGAAACACACCGGGTGTCTTTTCACCAACGACGCGTGATTTTACTCCGGGCCTCCCTCTGCGCCCTCTCCGTTTCTCTGAGCGGAACTTCGCCAGCTCAGTCTCAGCAAACGTCGAAACAGGGTTGGAGGGTGGCGTCTACGCTGCGCCAGGACCGAAATCACTTCCAATTCCAAATCAGGCGGATTTTATTAGGCCTCGAGAGGACCGATTAGGCGGTAATGGTGGAAAAGACCATTGACAGGACCTCGGGAAGCTCTTTTCGAATCTAGTTTCTCGAAGCAGCCCCGCGGACAGCGAACCCAGGGCCCCAGCTCCGGGGTCCCTTACTGGCAAGCGGGCAAACGCTCGCCGCCACCCTAGAACTCGAGAGCCGCAGCAGGCGACTGTTGGCACCGCCGTGACCCCCGGCCCAGCACGCTCCCCCCCCCCCCACCAGTTCTCCCTCCTTTCCCAGCTAGCCACCCCTGCTCTGAGTGGTTCGAGGACCAGTAGCTGCCCTGCGGCAGAAGAAAGGCCTAAATCAAGACACCCCCCCCCCTTCAGTTCTCCGAACAGCACGGCCCCCCTCCTCCAACGCGGAGCTGACGGCCCTCCGCTCCTCCAGCCCCTTGGCTCCCCCTTATTAAAGTTTTACTCAAGGGCCTAAGTGCTGCACTTGAATTAGGCTTCCTTCCGGGGGAACCCTCTATGCCGAGCCCCCTTCCGGTCTAATAGAAACACCGGAGCTTCAAACCTGATTTACACGAACCTGTTACCGTAAACTGGCAATAAAGCGCGGAGGCAACTGCTGCGGAGGGGGCAAAAGGAGAGGTTCCGTTGTTTTTGAAAGAAATTTATAGTACATTCTCTCCCACCTGAATACTCCGTCTCGGGGAAAGAGGGGAGAAAGCAGAGGGGCGGCCCTCGGCCCCTCACCCGGCGGGGCCAGCCCGCCCCTCCCCGCAGGCGCTGGCCTGGGCCGGGAGCGAAATTTGAAAACATCCAATGCGGAACTGATGCCAGCCTTTCTTCCTTTCTCGGCTACCAGTTACTGTCGTATAGAAAGCGGGTGGGGGTGGTCGGAGCAAACGGAGAAGAAGCAGTTCCACCACGGAACTAAGTGCCTCCAAAATGACGGAAAGGCCAGCGTTCAGTCACCCTCGGGACGATGGAGAGGGAAAGGCCGTCTGCCGGCGGACTTGGCCTTTGAAGTTTCTGGCCAGTGGTTCCCGCCGCCCCTACCCCCACTCTCCTCAACTCTTTATGGGAAGATGGAGGAAGGTGAGGGAAGGGGTCCCATTTCTGGCCTTGGGAAGGAGGGAGGAGGCCAAGCGGCGCTGGCTGGGCCAGAGCGACCGGAAGACTGTCGCGAGACGCCGGGTTGGGGAGGCGAGGAGGCTGCAGCGGAGAGTGGGCACTCCAGCCACGAGGTGGGGAGCCGGGGGCTGTGCACCCTCTCCTTGAGCCCCGCCTCAGGCTCTGCTGGGAGGGGGCCCCTTGTGCGGCGCTGCGATCCTTCCTCCTCTAGCCCAAGGTGCGTGAGCAGAGCCCTGCGCCACTCGGAGGTCGGCGCCGGCCCAGCTCCGAGCCTTGGAGCCCACCAAATTCCAGCCCTGGCCTTGGCAGAGAGAGCAAGAGTGTTATGCTCCCATTTCTCAGAGCAAGACCCACTCATTTTGCTACTTTCAAGAATGCGCTTCTCTCTAAAAAGGTAAACCTGCTGATTCGTGGGCCAAGGACCTTAAGCTCTCTTCGTCTGGGGACCTGCTGAAGGAGCCGTCGGGGAATGGGGTGGGGGGTCATCCCCGGACTCTGGGGGACTCCGCGGTCACAGCGGGAAGGGAAGGGTGGGTGTCAGGCTCTCTAAGAGGCCATTCAGCTCGTTGTTTCCTAAAAAGGCTGGCAGCCGCCTGGGCAAAAAGGGACCAAGAAAGCTGCTTCGCAGCACGCGGGACGCGAGCGCGGCCTCAGCGGGGGAGAGTCTGGCTTGGGAGAGCAAGGCCCGCCCATAGGACCTTGTGTTTGTCTCCGACTGGATGGAATCTTGGTACAGACGAAATGATTATTGTTAATGTTCTTATTTAAACTGTGATACTTTACAAAACATTTACTTTGAAAACTGGGTGAAAATTAACCCTGATGATAATGACTTATTAATGCACCCTTAAGGGAGAGGCTGTGGCCCTTTAAAACTAAATCAGTGCGGCTTACTCTCACACGGCTGCCTTCCTTCTGCCATTCCTATGCCCTGTTGAGCTCTTTGAGTTCTGGCATCTGAGGAGCAACTAGAGGGGCTGCCCAGGGCTGGTAGCTCTGTATTCTGCCCAGGGACTCAGAACTTGCACACAAGCAGCGGGGGGGGGGGGGGGGGGTACTACCACTGCTAGCTTGTTGGTCTGGGGCGGGGGCGGGGGCGGGGGCGGGGAACCAGGTAATCTACAGATGCACTCCAGACTCACCTAACCCTCCCTGCCCCCGCTGGTTCCTGCCCAGGCCCTCTCAGAGCTACTGCCCCCACACAGACAAAACCCACTTTATAAAATGAGCACGTTGAGGCTAAGCCTTAGTTACTTGATCAGCGTCACAGTCTAAGCAGAGCCCCCCAAAGCAGGAGTTCTAAGGGCTAAGCTCTGTGGTCATCAGCGCAAGAGAACAGCAAGCCAAGTCTCTCCCCCACTCCCAACATACCTCTTCTCACAAGGTCTCTCTAGACACAGTTTCTATCTGGAGCCATCCTTTGAGGTCACCGAGCTGCACTCTAGCCCCCCAGTTTGGATAAGTGCAACCACAGGGGATTAAACACAAGTAGAAATTTAGTTCAATCCATCGCTCATTTATTGAGTGCCTGCTGCACGCAAAACCATCCCTTGAAGTGGAAGGCTGGAGGAGATACAGTGGAAATACTATCTCCCTTCCTACCGATCGCACTCTGGCGGTCTGCCTCTCACTCGCTGGCAGATCTTGGGTCTGTCGTTTCTTCATATGTGACCCGAAGCTACTGTATTCTGTGATTTCTGACATTGTAAGGTGGGTCAAACGCCTATCAGGGGGAACGGAGACCGAGAACGATTCACCCTCAGGGCATATGGAGAGGCTTTCCGGAACCTATGCTGGAGGACTTGAAAGATGCTTAGAATACCAAATCGGGGTAGGAAGATGTGAGCAAAACTCGGGAGAGGGTGCAGAAGAGGCAGGTCTCTGAGGGAGAGAGGTCTGGACCCCGACTCTTGTTGGGGTAGAGCTGGGAGGGAAGAGGGCAAGGGCGTCCTCACTGGGTCCTGGACGCTAGGCGAAGCCTGTGAGGTACCCATTCAGACTGTGAGCACCCGGCTCCCACCCAGGTGCGCACGCACCTAGTGTTCGCGCCGGCGCTACGGGACGCCCAGCGCAGGCCCCAGGCCGAGCCAGCTCTCGAAGAGAGAAATAGGTACCCGACGTGGACGCTCAGCGCCCCATCTTAAAAGGGTTCAGCCTATCGCCCCCGCCCGAGACCTGACCTCGGTCTTTGTCTGGTTAAGTTCGTCGCCCTTCCCCCTCCAGGCAGAGTTCTGCCGTTGAACTTGAGCCCGGCCATAAACATTCCTTGGTGGCGGAAGAGGATTGTGGAGGGATTCGGAACGCCGGGGCCCCGGCCTTCTCCCACTCAAGCTTGCATTGCTTTTTTAGCCACGGGTTTTGGCTTTTTGTGTTCCGCGGAAACGTCGCCAGATCTGCATTTTAAAAATCCGATTATTGAGGACTTATGGCAAGTTAGACCAATACTTTAGTCAGAATCAACGTATTGTTACTTTTCATTTTCATTCATGTATAATTCATGCTGACCTATTTTTTGACAGTAAAATTCCCCACACTTAGGAAAAAAAAAGACCTGGAAAGGCAAATGCGTAAAGAGCAAACGAATAGCTACAGCAGAGGAATTATTAGAGAAGATCATCCCTAGGCCGTCCCCTCCATATTTTTAAAAGCGCCCCTCCTTGGGCAGCACAACTCCAGCCAGCGGCCGACGAGCCCCGCTGGGCCCTGTGTCCTCCCACGATCCGGAAGCTTAGGCTTGGTAAATGGGGCACCCCCCATCCTTGGCCTGGGGAGCGGTCCGAGGGACCCAGGACTCCTGGCGCGTGCTTCCCTTGCGCCGGCGGAGGCTGCGCAGAGCGGCCTGCTGAGACCATATTAGTGTTTTCGTTTCCTCTTTTTCAGGAGAATCCAGGATCCCTAAACGAGGAAGGATAAAAGACTCGATCCCGGGGTCTTTTCCTGGCTCACAAAAACCCGCTGTAAGGGGTACTGGGCGCGCTGGGCTTCCCTCCCCGCGAGGAGTCGGGGCAGCGCGGCGAGCGGCAGAGAAGGCTCCAAACCCCGGAGCCTAGGACATGCTCCCGGCCTCCGAACCTCAGGCCAGATCAAGTGCTCGGAGGCAGGTCCTCACCGGCAAACCGGAAGAGGGGCGTGAGACAGCTGCCGGAACCCTGGTCTCCGCATTCAACCGCAGCTCCCCCCCGCGTCCCCACTTCACTTGAACCAGTCGGAGGACTCGGACCGAGGGGGGGTTTTGTCTCATTCTCCTCCCCAGCCTTCGATTCCCAAGTCTACGGGGCCCTGAAGGGAACTCAGCCAACCCCTCTCCTTTTTTCTGACTTTTGGGGGAAAGAAGCGTGGACGCCTCGGTCAAGTTCACGGATCTGGCCGGCGTCTCTTAGGATGAGTGGGGCCACCGCTGTCATCCGGATCAGGAGGGTCCTAAACAGTTGGGATTGGGGGTGGGGGGTGCGGGGACAAAGCTTCCAGAAAGCCTTTTGGTCTTTAGTCTGCTGTTCGGTTCTCACATTCCCGCCTGCCCATCCCCTCAGCTCTGTAGAGGAAAAATAACTCCATCTGAAAGGAAGCCGTTTACTTGGAAAAATAATTGCGAAGGCCTCATGGAGTGTGCTCAGAATGGTCTTAAGTCTTTGGCACTTGGGTAGTTTTTCGTTAGTTCTGTTCCGGCATTTATGAAAGTTAAGGGTTTACAGTGTTTATTTGGTACAACCTTTTCTTCGGAATCTGATTTAGAGTAAAAGAAGACACATCTACACTGCGCCCAGATTAAACACGATGAAATAATTACCCCCAACATTCCAGCCCTTAAAAAAAAAAAAATCTCGAATTGGGAAATAAAAAAAACTTATTCAGGTGCAGAAAATAGAACATAGGGCTTTAAATACACACAAACTGTAAAAACTCTTCTGAATTTTTCCTCATTTTGCATTCCAGATCTCATGTTTTATAATTTGCAACCACTGTGATTTGTTACTTTTGTCTTTCCACTCCCCAACTTATATATATATATTCTATCTTGAGTCTATAAACACACTATACATTTACTATGTTACAAGCAATTCCCCAAGTTATTGCAGTTTTCTAAATGCCACTTAAAATGCATAACATGAAACGAAATGAATTGTCATCATTTAGCATTTACCTAGTGCTAGTCATTTAGGTTGTCCCCACATTTAAAAAGAAAACTTTTTTTTCCTGATTAGAAAAGTAACACATTTTCATTGTCAAGGATTTTGAAAATATTTAAAAAGTAGTATAAAGAAAATAAAACCACCCCATATCTTACTATCCAAAATTTACCAAAGTGAATCTTTTATTGTACTTTCTTTGGTTTTTTTCCCTTGCAAATATGTGTAATTTCAAAATTCAGATTCCTTGTGAACATTTTTGAACTTTGCCTTTTAACTTAATATTAGAAGAACTTTTCCCAGTGTCATTAAGCATTCTTCAAAAACATCATTTAATGATCACATAGTATCCAGTGCTTCTTCATTTAGATAAGCAATTCTCTAATTATTGATCTTTTCCAAGTTTACTATTTAAAATAATTCATAAGAAAGAGAACATTGTTATGACCCACGTGTGTTTGGTAGGAAGATAAGAGTTGAATCTCCCTCAAATAGAGTATTTCAAAAATTTTAGGTTAAAATTTCCCCCTCCTAGGTATTAGGCGAGAGGGAATGAAACTGGGCCTGCTAGAGTGCTGGAAATATTGTTTTGATTAATATGGTGGTTCCACGGGTGTGTATTCATGTAAAAAAATCATTTGGCTGAACATTTAAGATTTGTGCAATTTACTTTTTAATTTTAACATTTCCCCCCACTCCTGAGAGCCTATATCTTTTTACATAGAAAAGGAACAATGAAGAAAATAGGTAGGCAGAGGAAGTGAGAAAGGAGTGGGGACCAACTCAAACTGGGACCGTTCACCCTGTGCTGGGATATTTTCTTTAGTTCATAGAAACATGAAGTCAATATTGAAAAGCTAGTGATGAGGAGAAAACAAACAAAAGAAGAACCTGGCCCTTTCCCCGACCCCATGTTAGGTAAAGACTTTTCAATTACACTTTGTGGCTTTGAATTTTCCTTGCAAATAGAAGGTACTAATAAAAATAGGCTAGAAAAGGTTTATAAAGGCAGTTAAAATTAATGCGTAAATAACCAACTTGGCTAACATGGTCATGTGAAATAGAAGTGGGGTGCTTTACATATAATCAAATAAAAAGTTGAATTTCAGAAAGATTCATTTTGGATCTATTTTGTAATCCACATTTTCACTTTATTTTTTTTTTTAATTGTTTAAAGAGAACTTTATTATGACAGTGAGTTTTGACTTGAAAATCATTCCATGAAGTGGAAGTGAAAGTGGCTCAGACGTGTCTGATTCTTTAAGACCCCTTGGACTGTAGCCTTCCAGGCTCCTCTGCCCATGAGATTCTCCAGGCAAGAATAATGGAGTGGGTTGCCATTTCCTTCTCCACACATGTTCACTTTAAAAGCTGAACTTGGAGGCTGCAGGGACAACTGCTCCCCCAAGGAGGATCTGAGAGGGAGTAGGGTGGTGTCTGATCTGGTTTTATTGGCACGATCTTGTGTGATGCTGTGTGCTGACCAGAACATATGCTTCATCCCTGGGATGCTAGAGGAGAAGAAAAAACCCTTCAAACTATTTGTCACCACAGTTGCTTCCTGATGTGCTCCAGCTAGAAGACTGCTACAATCACTGCATACTGTTTAGCAGTGATTTTAATTTTTTGAATTGTTTTTTCACTTGGGAGAAAGTTGAATTTTTAATATCTGATGAAGAAAGACATCACAGATATTTTTTCATGTTAGAGGAATATACTGTGGGTATTTTGGCTCTCCCTGATTTTTTGAGGTATAGCATAATTCAGTTAAGTGCATTAATCCTAAGTGTGTTGCTCAGGGAATAATCACCCAAGTAACCACTGTTCAGAACAAGATATAGAACATTTGTGGCACCTCTGTGGGTTCCCTCCTGCCCCTTTCCAGTATAATATTCCAGAGAGAGTTGCTATTCTGGTTTTTGTTGCTACGGATTAGTTTTGCCTGTTCTTGAACTTCACATAAAGAGGCATACAGTACAGAGTACAGACCTCTTTTGTGTCTGGTTTATGTCACTCAACAAAAAGTGCAATTAATCTGTGTTGTAGTGTGTATCAGCATTTTATTCTTTTACATTGCTCTATGCTATGCCATTTCATTCACCTCTTGATGGACATTTGAGTTATTTCTATTTTGGGCTATTATGAATATTCTTGAACAGGTCTTTTGGTGGATAAATTGATTCATTTCCTATAGAATTTCTGGATTACAGGGTAGGTATATGTTTAAATTTACCAGCTATGTGGTGTTTTAAAAAATCAAATTATTGGGAATTCCCTGGCGGTCCAGCAGTTAGGACTTTGTGCTTTCATTGCCACTGGCGAAGGTGGGGGAACTAAGATCCTGCAAGCCACACAGCACAGCCAAATAAATAAAATAAAATAAAATAAAATAATCATGGACCAGGCTTCCCTTGTGGCTCAGCTGGTAAAGAATCTGCCTGCAAGGCAGGAGACCTGGGTTCCATCCCTGGGAATAGTATAGTCCATTGTATAGTCCATGGGGTCGCAAAGAGTTGGACACAACTGAGCAACTTTCACTTCACGTCACTTCATCCATGGACCAGTCCCAATTCCCCACAACCATTACAAGTAGTGGGGCTTCCCAGGTGGCTCAGTGGTAAAGAATCCATCTGCCAGTGCAGGAGACCCAGATTTGATCCCTGGGTCAGGAAGATCCACTGGAGAAGGAAAAGGCTACCCACTCCAGTATTCTGTCCTGGAGAATTCCATGGACAGAAGGTCCTTGTGAACTGTGGGTTGCAAAAGAGTAGGACTTAGCGACTAAACAACAAGTACAAGTGGTCAGATTTAAGAGCAAGAAAATCTAACATTAATGGAGTGGATATGACTACTTTTGCTTGAATTTCTAGAAAGAGCTTATTTTGAAGTCTTGATGGCCTGGATCCTTGGGACAGCAGAGATTTGAGTTTGCTGACAGAAGCACATCAAAACTCACGGCTCTGGTTCTTCCTGTAGCCTCCCT